AATAACACCAGTAATGGTAACAGTAGTAATAGTAATAGTTCTAGTAATGTATGTGTGTAGTGACAGTAGTAGCCTTCCTTTTATAAAAAGCTGTTTATTTTTTAGCAGAGAGGTACTTGTGTGGCCCAATTGAGAAAGAGGAAGAGAGAAAAAAATATATTTTTTTCCTTTCTCTTCTCCTCATCACATGTCTTCATGTTGTTTTTTGTTTTTCTCCTCATAATTGGTTTGAGGTTTAGAGTATAGTCTATCAAACATTTTTCTGATTCTAATTACACTATATACATACTCTACCATACATGCCTACACACTATACCTTATCCGATGTCATACGTACCTTTGCCTGTGGCCTGCCTGTACATGTTCTTGGTTATGGTTATGGGCTGTAATATAGTGCTCTACTGTCTAGTATTGCCTTTGTGGAATATCCTTTTATCTTTTGATGAGCTAACATGTGTGGTTACTTTATTGTACTGTGTACTTAGATGTATTCTGAATAATGTCTCTCCTTCCCTCCCCCCCCCCCTCTCTCTCTCTCTCTCTCTCTCTCTCATAGATGGATGATTGTAGAGGTGATTCTCTTTATCTCCCTCAGTCAGTTTGCTCCAGACACTGTGTAAGTTAACAAGTATACCAGGAAGAGAAGAGTGAGAGAGAGTGGATAAAGACTGGTTGATAGTTAGTGTGAGACAGAGAGAAAGAAAGTAAATCAAAGCCAAAACTAATCATTAACAAAGTGACGATAAGAGAAAAGATGATGAGAGAAAGACAAAGACCAATCGGACAATAATCGTTTAGGATATAAGGATACAAGTACAGGGCTGACAGACAGACTAAAAGGATATTTCTACTAATATGCCTTGTCAGGATGTAGTTAATAGTCTGCCCTGATGCTTTTTCCTGCTATTAATCATTAGTCATTATTAGTGAGTTGGTTTATTTGTGACAGTTCAGCATGTGATCCAGACCTTATGATCTTTAGTGATATCGTGCACAAGGCATGCTGTAATGGTTTCATATGGTAATTCAAGTATCCATGGGCATAATGTAATGCTTATCCTTAAATAAAAGCCTTTCTAAGTTAGAAGTTTAGGGGCTACAGCATAAGGTATTGTACATGTACTGGTAAGCCTGCATGAAGTATAGGAGGACACTAAAGTACAATATAGAAGTGTGTATACAAATTAAAGATAGAAAATATAGAGGCTGGACCTACTATCAGCTACATATCATGAGGATGTGTTACTGCTACAGGGTCACCTAATAGTATATGCCATATGTACATGAATTAAAGAGTCCTTTGATATTGTTACATTATATCCCTGATAAACAGCTGCTCCGTTATGTGATACTTAAAGGCAGAGATAAGAGGGTTGGAGCGGTGTTTTAAGAGAGAGAGAGAGAAGGAGGGATGAGAGATAATTAAAGTAATACCTGAGAGACAGAAGTATTCGTGTCTGATTATTTGAGTGGGAGTTTAGTAGGATGATACAATAGACATACTTCACTTAATCACTTGCTCCATTGAACATACACTACTACACAATGTAGCCTTGTTGTAATGGACACTTTGGGGCAAGAAAGTGTCTCTATTATACAGAGGTGTCCTTTATGTGGAGGTTATTTTATACAGTAAGGAATGTAATTGGTACACTAGGTGCTGTCCGTTAAATGGAGGCGTACGCTATAGAGAGTGTCCATTAAGAGAGACTATACTGTACATGTATACCACCATTGCAATTGTATTAATGTTAACTTATTTATTATTTATTTTTGCATTAGAATCAATCTTTGTGTTCCATTGGATGTAGTTCTGCTTATGCTACTGTCAATGGACAAGGAGAAGAAGGTAATTAATAATAATAATAATAATAATAATAATAATAATAATAATAGTAATAATAATAATAATAATAATAATAATAATAATAATAATAATGTGATACATGTATAATATTAAAGTGTTTATTGTGCCTACAGTGTACATGTACATGTAGACTGTAATTGAGGTAATTAGCACTGTCCATTCACTCCACTGTCAGTTATTAGTAACTGTATGGTATAGTTCATGAGTTTAATCAGGCACTATTGGATATTAATTGCTACTCACCAAAAATACTAACATTACAAATTATCTAAATCTAATACACGTACTTCAGACACTCCTTGATACATGTACCTCAAGAAAAATTTAAACAATTTTGGCATACAATTCTATGATGTCTATACCATAACATCCTATCTTGTACATTTCAGTGTACTACAATCCATGTACATATGATCCTACTGATCTTATGTATCTTCATTCTCTTTCCTTTAGTTCAAAGGCCACACTCTCCTCCACCAAACAGTGTCTTTTCTCTTGAGAAATTCTCTTCTCCCTACCTCCATCTCCCTGGGACCTACTCACTGAGCTTTAACATGGGGGAGGGTCTCCTTGGTAACGCCTCGACTGATGTGTCTGTCACTTCTTACATACTGGAGGGAGCAGCTGATGGGATTAATGCTTACTATTGGATTGTAAGGAGAGAGGGAGGGAGAGAGAGGGAAAGGGAGGAGGGAGAGAGGGAGGGAGAGAGAGAGGGAGAGAGAGAGGGAGGGAGGGAGGGAGGGAGGGAGGGAGAGAGGGAGGGAGGGAGAGAGAGAGAGAGGGGGGGGAGGGAGAGACAGAGAGAAAATAAGATAAGAAGTTTAAAAAAAACATAAGAGAGAGAGAGAAAATCTAGTACATTTTTATACATGTACATGTACATATACAGTACGTATGCATACATTACCATTTTATTTATTTATTTTTCTTTTCATAGATGAGTCTTGATGATACTCTATCTATTGATTATTCTCAATTGTGCAAGAATCTCTCCATCAGGTTTATACCAGTCAACAGACATGGGCCCTCTAATAGCTTCTCTCAACCAACCACTCTTGAAGTATATGGAGGTAAGACATGTACAGTACACATGTATCTATTGCAACCGTTTCACATAATTATGTACATGTACATGTATGCATGTATTTGTACATGTACATATATTGTATACAGTGTAGCCTCTATATAATGGACACTTTGGGGCAAGGAAGTGTCTCTGTTATACAGAGGTGTCCTTTATGTGGAGGTTATTTTATACAGTAAGGAATGTAATTGGTACACTAGGTACTGTCCGTTAAATGGAGGTGTATGCTATAGAGAGTCTCCATTAAGAGAGACTATACTGTACATGTACTGTACATGCATCTTATAAAATATTCATTTATCATCAAATTGTGTACATGTACATGTATACGCCTAGATTTGTCTCTGAAGACTAAATAATGTTTAATTTGTTAATTTTCTATTCAAGAGTTCACTGGTTGGTACACAGTGTCAGTCTAAACTCCCATCCTAATAGACTATACAATAATGGAATAAGACATGGGAGCCATTGTGCCTTAATTTAAAATTAACACCTGGCTACAGTTTCTTAAATATACATGCACATGCAGGGCTTCCCACAGGATTCTGGGATAGTGCTTTTGTGTAGCTTCTTGTCAGTGGATTGTCAAGTTGCTAAAAAATTAACAAGATCCCTGTACTATAGTACATGGTATTTTGGCAAAAATGACAAGAAGAGAATTTTTTATTTTTATCACTTTATCTGATGCATATACATGTATTTGTGTTAAGTTTTAAATTTGAGCTGATTTTGATCAAGTTTGGATTTTTTTACGAATATTTGAAAGTTGCTCAAAAATTGGGCCAAAGTCCCTGTACTATAGTACAGGGATTTCAATCAAATTTCGCCAAAAATGAAAAGTTGAGAATTCTCCATTTTATATTTTTATCTGATACATATACATGTTCTTATGTTGTGTAGAAAGTTTGAGCTGATTCCAATCAAATTTGGATTTTTACGAATATTTTAAAGTTGCTCAAAAATTGGGCCAAAGTCCCTGTACTATAGTACGGGGATTTCGACCAAATTTCGCCAAAAATTAAAAGTTGAGAATTCTCCATTTTTATAACTTTATCTGATACATATACATGTTCTTTTGTTGTGTAGAAAGTTTGAGCTGACTCCGATCAAATTTAGTTTTTTTTACAAATTTTTAAATTTGCTCAAAGTGTACAT